AGCTCCGCCTGCATGTGCTCGGTCGCTCTGGGCAGGCAGGCGGGCGGCACACGGACACGTCGTCCTCACCGCGTGCCGGGTTCCAGGACGTGCTCCCAGCAGCCGTGGGCACTGCGGCGTGTGAGCGTGCGGGAAGGGACGGGCAGGCCCGTGTGCACGCGTGGCACCCACCTTCGCCACCCTGCCCATGTCGTCCATGGTGGCCCTCTCCTGCGGGAACTGGGCGAACGTGCTCTCGATCTTGGCGATGACGGCGTCCACGCTGGCGGCCTGCTGGGGGCGGCCCCTGGGGAAGTAGAAGGCTGGAATGCTCTGGCTGGTGGCTGGGGGCGCCGGCTCCTCCTTCTTCCTCTGCACCTGCGCGGGCCGAGGGGCGCCCGGTCAGCCCGCCACTCAGCACGCCCGGGACCGCGCCTGGGACCGCGCCCGCTGAGCACCCCCGGTCAGCACGCCAGCGACTTCGCCTAGTGACCTCGCCCGGTGACCTCGCTCGGTGAGCACGCCCTGTCAGCACGCCCGGGGACCTCGCCTAGTGACCTCGCCCGGTGAGCACGCCCAGTGACCTGGCCTGGTGAGCACGCCCAGTGACCTGGCCCGGTGAGCACGCCGAAGGCCACTCCTTTCCCGTTCTGTCCCGATGCTTGTCCCAGCTAAGGGCCGTCCAGAAAGCCGCGACACGTTTTTGCACAGAAACACTCAGAATACATTGTGGCTTTCCTGGCGGCTAAGTATGTCTTTCAAGGCGGAGCAGGAGACTGAGAAGGGCACCCTCCACAGGGTCCCCCAGCTGCCAGCCAGCCAGGACCAAGGTGAGGCCAGTCTCCCAGAGGGCTGCGGCATGGCCCCAGGGACCCAGCGCCATGCCCCGCACTCAGCCCAGACGTCTTCCTCACGCTCACGCAGACGTGTCCGCACAGAAGGGGCAGCTCCCCGGCCCAGGGGGACAGAGCCCACAGGCCTGACTCGGGTGCGGGTCCTGTCCAGGGCGTGCACAGCAGGTGCATGGGACGGAGGACTGAGGACGGGCAGGCGACACGAGGCTGGGGCTCTGCTCTCCCCTCCCTCCTCTCTCCCTGTGTCTCCCTCACGCACACCATGCTCTGCTGTCCTGATCAGACTAGAAAGGCAGCCGCCTGGATGCAGGTGAGCCCGGCTGACCCGGACGTGGACAGAGAGGTCCGGACAGTGCCCATGGGCTGCGCCGCGGTCTCCAACCTCCAACCACCAGACGCCCCTGCAGCACCTCGTGGGCCGCAGCAGCAGCCCCTGCGCCCCGCCTTGAGACGAGGAGGACTGGGGGATTGGGCGCAGCACCCCGGGGCCCAGGGCCCCGCCTTGACTCCGTGCACAGGCTGGGAAGCTCCAGGAGGGCATGGCCAGCATAGGGGTGCACGCAGAGCCAGGGAGGAGTGTGGGTGGCCGGCTCCCCCACCCGCTCTCATGCGGGGTGACACACGTGACCACAGAGAAGTGGGCTGCATGTCCTTCAGGGCCCCCCGGCCAGGGAGGCGGAAGGGACTCGATGTGGCTGGAGCTCCCGGCCGGAGGGGAAGACTGAGTGGTGCCCAGGGCAGCCTGGGACTAAAATACTAATTGGCAAAGAAATATAAACACAGTTCATGCAAAAGAAATTAAATGGTTACATACATAATTCTTAAAAAAAAAAAAAAAAAAAACAGACCCACATAACACGCGTATTAACGGGAAGTAGATGGTGAGGAAGCGTGGCCGTGGAGGGGCTCATGCGGAGCCGAAGGGAGGCTGCGGGCCGGCAGCAAGTGCGGAAGGCGTGACGGGCCTGGCCACTGAGGGCCGGCCTCACACAGCCCACCACAATGCCAGTCCCGGCCGGGGGCCTGGGAAGCGCCCTGGGTACACGTGTGTGCCCCACATCCCACCAGGGTGCAGAAACGGGAGAGAAGGAAGGGGGGACGGGGGCATGACCACGCCTGCCGGGGTGCCTCCTCCCTCTCCGTCTGTCTCTCCGGTGAGCGCCCGCTCCTCCCGCAGTTACAGCCGAAGGAAGAGCTGGGGACACAGGCAGAGGCGTGAGGGTCCCCGAGCCACGCCACGATCACGCAGGAGGACGCAGAGCCCCACAGCAGAGCTGCGGTCCCAGCTGGCACGGAACCGGAGACCAGCGAGGGGACGCCCTTCGGGGAGCCTGCGGCAGCTTCTGGACGGGAACAGCTGCTCGGGGCCGGGAGAGCCAGCTGCCGGCGAGCTCACAGCCTGCCGCGGCAGCCTCCGAGACCCAGAGAACACGACATGCTCCAGATGGAACCAGAGCGCGCGTTCACTGCCGGCAGAGCGTGCTGGGAGGAAACGCCCAAGAATGTGCTTCGGGGAGGAGGAACGGGGCCCACGTGGGAGAGCTGAGCAGCACGAGGGTGCCTAGCCAGGGAAGGGGTGCACACAGCTCTCCAAGACATCCACGGTGACACGCGGTGCAGAGCACGCACAGATTTCAGCACTCCTCACGCCAAAATAGGCTTACACTCTACGTACACTTTCTGTGAGTTACGTCTTTAGTTTTGCTACACGGTGCATGCACTCACAAGAGAGACAGGGAGGGGAACCAGCAGTTAGCGTAATGGCTATGTCGCTGGACTCCCACATAGTCGACCGCGGTTCGTGTCCCGGACCCGGTGGCTTAAAACTCACGCC